CGCGCTCATGGATAAAACAGCCGAAAACCTTTTGCCCCTCTCCCTGTCCATCCGCCGATCCCTCCCCCCGTCCTCATCTCACTTTTAACCCTCTGACATGACCCCTGGGAATCGTTCAATTTTAGATTAAGCCACAGAATGTAGAGGAAGGTCGTGGAATTGCCCGCGAGATCTTTTACCAAGGGGCCCTCTGGAAAACCATACACATATTCCAGCCATCGTTTGGTGGGGTAGAAAGGTTGTAACACATATATCCCTCTGGCGACTCGTTTCGCTTTATATGACCCGGCCTCGCACAGTGGCTTGTAAATGCGTGGATACAACAAAAGGTTTTAAGTGTTACTGTTTTGGGGAATTACACGCTGTTGGGGGTTATTCTTCGGGGAGGGTAGGGGGAGGAGGGAGGGGTGGGGTATTGAAAAGAGATCAGGGATTGTGGGGGAGAACGATTTCATGACTTTATGGATATTGAATTATTGGAGTAATGAGGGAAATGTAGGCGGACATTTATGTTGGGAATTTAATGTTCTACAAAAGGTCTCGTGACTCTCGATAATTGAATGATGAGGGTGATCGCGGAGTGACAAAGGAAATACTCAACGTGTTTCGTGAAATAGGTTTTTTGTGACGGTTAGGTGTCTGTCGTAGAATAATAACTCGTGGTCTAGCAGAATAAAGGTGTTCTATTTAGCACGTTAGATGGGTTTACATCGAGTTTGGAAATCGGGCTGAGATCGAGTGATATATTTGGTCGGGAGCGCGCGGGTTTAAATTCCTTTTGTTATGGAAGGTTTGGGAATTGTCCAGAAATTTCTTGAGGGGCAAGGATAGAATGATGTTTGCCTCGAATACGACGATATACAATATTCGAGACGCGTTATAGAAATTTCGAAATAATAATTCGTTTGTGGCTCGCGCCACATTTTTTTTTAGAAATTGATTTTTTTCAGTGTTGAAATCTTTGAGTGAAATTTCCGGAGCACTTGAATTTTTTTAGCAAGTGACAGTTCTACCGAGATTTTTGTCATTGGAAATTCAATAATTTCTGGAGAAATCAATGGAAGCTGTCGTTTTCGATTTAATTCCATGTTCTATGAAAATTAATAGACATGAGAAAAATTGAGGTAGATGTATTACTGGATTGTCCATAAATTAAAAATTCCGGAGTTTTCTTGATTTCTCCGAATTGTCATGGAATAATTGAACTGAAAAATTAAGTATTTGATTGATTTTCAAATCATTCTAACAGAAAATCAATGGAATATTCGTTTTTTCAGTGACAAGATTTCCTTAAATTCCAGTGAAAATTAGTCATAAAAATTTCCAAATTCATTCAGTGTCCTCCTCAACCCACCGGGGCAAAACGGTTCACTCCCTGAAGCCATA